GGACGGGGACCCTCGGCGGGTGACCTCAGGGCTCCTCCGGGTGGCGTTCTGTGGTCACCAGCTGCCGTGTGTCTGCTGAGCTCCCTGGGTCCCCGTCATCGCAGCGGGTGCCGACGCACACACCGGCGCACGCGTCCTGCAGAGAGAGCCCGGGCCTCCCACCCGCTCCCCTCCCCGCCTGGCGTCGCCACCCCGCCGTCCCCACCCCGCCGTCCCCACCCCGCCGTCCCCAGACCCCGCCGTCCCCACCCCGCCGTCCCCACCCCGCCGTCCCCTCCACGGGAGCCACTGTGGAAACCGGAGTCACCTGTCCGTGGCGCACCAGGTGACGTGGGAACAACACATCCTTCGAAGAGTTTGGATGCAGAGGTGCGCTTGGTGGCCTCACCCAAGCTCCCAGCGTGGGAGGATGAGGCAGGGGGATTGCCCCGAGTGTGACGTCAGGCTGGGCTACATAGTGCGTTTGAAGCCCCTGAAACAGGCTACACGAGACCCTGTTTCAAAAACTAACTAATGCTGGGGAGACGGCTCAGCAGTTTTGAGCACGGGCTGCTCTTCCAGATGGACCCGGGTTCAAGTCCCAGCACCCACAGGGAGCTCACAACTGTAACTCCAGTTCCAGGGGATCCGACGCCCTTACACAGACACACGTGCACATAAAGTATAAATAAATAATAGATAAATGGATAAATAAATAAACAAAACGATAAGAGGGGCCAGAGAAACGGCTCAACCCGCACTGCTCACTGGACGGAAGGCAAGAAGCGACGGTCATAGCTGTCCTCTGACCTCCACACCCGTGCTGGAGCATGCGCGCATGTCGTGCTTGTGCGCGCGCGCGCGCACACACACACACACACACACACACACACACACACACACACACACACTAAATTTTCTAAAATGTAATTTACAAAAATTACACATTTTTAGCTTGCGGTTCCAAGCAGACCCAGGAGACGGGACTGCGCCAGCGGCCACCAGAGGGCGCCCGAGAGCCGCCCCGCGGACACGCCCACTCGCCTCCGCCCCGACGTCCCGCGCTGCCCCGGACGGTGCCGCTGCCAGGGTTTCCTTTATTTTGCTTTTATTTTTTCCAAAATTATATGTCCTTTATGTGTGTGCGCATGTGTGTGTGCGCATGTGTGTGTGCGTGAGCGTGTGCGTGCGTGTGTGTGTGTGCGTGAGCGTGTGCGTGCGTGTGTACGGGGTGGAGAGGCCTGTGGAGGCCAGAAAAGAGCGCCAAAGAGCGCCTTGAGCCTGGGTGCTGGGAATGGAACCCCAGTCCTCAAGAAAAGCAGCCAATAGTCGGGCGGCGGCGGCGCCTTTAACCCCAGCCCTCAGGAGGCAGAGACAGGCGGATCTCTGTGAGTTCGAGGCCAGCCTGGGCTACAGAGCGAGATCCAGGACAGCAGGGGCCGCACAGAGAAACCCCGTCTCGAAAAAACAACAACAAACGTTATGCCTCTCTAAAAGTCAAAACCAGAAACTTTCCCCAGGGCCCGATGACAGCTCAGGGCACGGAGGCCCTCGCGGCTAAGCTTGGGGACCTGAGTTCGAGTCCCAGGACCCTCAGGTGGGAAGGGGAACCCAGACGCCTGTGAGCCGTGCTCCGACCCCACACATGTGCGCACACATGATAAATGAATAGAGAGATAAGCAAATGTTTGAACACACCGTCGTGAATGCCAGGACGATGCACACCTGGCCTCCTCGTGCTCAGGAAACTGAGGCAGCATGATCGCTGTGAGTTCCAGGCCAGTTTGAGCCCCAAACTATGCCGTGAGCTACAGTGTGTGAGACAGGGTCTCACGCGTGAACCACAGGCTGGACTGCGTGACGGGAGGGACTGGACTGTCCACCTCCAGCGTGTGCGCGCCTGCATGCGTGGCTGTGTGTGTGTGCGTGTGTGAGTGTGTGACTGTGTGAGAGTGTGTGTGTGTGAGTGTGTGTGAGTGTGACTGTGAGAGTGTGTGTGAGTGTGTGAGACTCTGAGAGTGTGAGTGTGTGAGAGTGTGTGAGAGTGTGTGACTGTGAGAGTGTGAGTGTGAGAGTGTGACTGTGTGAGAGTGTGTGTGTGAGTGTGTGTGCGTGTGTGAGTGTGTGTGTTTATTTTGTTTTTTGGGTTTTTTTGTTTTTGTTTGTTTGGTTGGTTTTTATTATTTATTTATTTATTTTTATTTCTCAAGACAGGGTTTCTCTAGCTTTGGTGCCTTTCCTGGGACTCACTCTGTAGCCCAGGCTGGCCTCGAACTCACAGACACGCCTGCCTCTGCCTCCCGAGTGCTGAGACTAAAGGCGCGCACCACCGCCCAGCAAAATCTGACTTGTTACAGGGGTGCCGGAACTGACCTCGGATCCCCTGCAAGGGCAGCCACGTTCCCAGCCACTGGGCTTCCCCTCGGCCCCTGTCTGTCACTGTCGGGTGTCTGGCTTTGTGCCTCCCTGCGTGGCCTCCTGGGATGCGAGGCCGGAGTGACCATGAGCTGGCAGGACTGCACGGCTGAAGATGGAGGACTCTGGACGGCGGGCGCCTTGCCCGGGAGTGCTGTGTGGTGTGACCGGTCAGCAGCACCAGGTAGACAGTGGGCCTGTCACACGGTGGGCGACTGACCTCTCCCTTCTGCCCTGTGAGTGGCAGAGGGGAGGCCGGGCAGCAGAGATGGAGAGGGCTGGGGGAGAAGCTGAGCCCCCGGGACCTGATCCAGGGAGGCCGGCAAGGCCCAGTCCAGGCTCAGGCTCACTGGCTCAGGGTGCTTGTCTGTGACCTTGGGTGTGCCCCAGCCATTACATCCCACCGGTCTCCTCCACGTCCACCCCCCGGCCCCAGCCCTCCGCCCCGGTAGGCAGCTCCTGGCCCCACAGAGGCCAGGCGGCACAGGGGAGGCAGGATCCACATGTTTATTGCAGGAAGACAAGGTCTACAGAGAAGGGTACACAGACCCCACACAGGGCGGGGCTCCCACATGCGGGGGGCAGGGGTGGGTCACAGCAAGCGAGGCCTGGCGGGGTCCCCAGCACCAGAGATGCCTGGGCAGGTCGGCCAGCAGCCAGGGTGGTCTCCCGCCTCCCCGCCACCCAGCCTGGTTCTCCCAGGATGGGCAAGGCTGGCCGGGAGAGGCCGGGAGGGCCCAGAGATTGTGCTATCAGGGTGTGTCCCTGAGAAAGGGCTGTGACCCCCTGTCCAGCCAGGAGCCGCTCCCGGGGCTAGGGAGCAGGAGACGGCTGTGGGGGCCCTGGACTGGCTGGAGGTCGGGGCTCAGCTACGCTCGGACTCAGGCTTCTGGCTGTGGCTCTCCCGGTGCGCAGGACACAGAGGGGCCACACCGAGGTCCGGCCCCCCCACACCTGGGGGCAGCGCTCTTGGGGCCGCTGTCTCTCTCCGATTTCCGTCCCCCGCTGTCTCTCGCACACATGCGCGGAGCAGAGGAGGCAGCTGGCCCCGGCCCCGGCCCGCCCGCTCGGCAGCCCCTGTGAGGTAATGACCGCGTGTGCTGGAGCCTCGGTGCTGGCATCATCACCCCAATCACCCCGGCACTAACTGACGGATACAGCCCGAGCCCCGAGCCAGCTCGCCGCCGCAGCCCGGACAGGCCCAACAGACAGGTTTACAGATAACGGTCGCCCACGCCTGAAAACACAGATCCACACACACACCAAGGTGTCTAGGTACCCTCCACAGCCACACACAAGCCACGCTACACAGCCACCATACGCACTGTGCTCTGGTTCAGGGCACAGAATGGCACAAAAACACCCCATCCCAAGACAAACACACACCCGTCCACACACACAAACTCACACGGACACAAGAGTCTGCAGTCACCCTCGTGTGGGTGGGACACGGGCCCAGGAGCCACTCACGACTCCCGGACAGTCTCGCAGATACCGCAGAGGCTCCGTGACTCGGGGCACACACGGGGAAACAGTCTCTGGGGTGCATATAACCAGTGGAGGGGCGCAGGGTCTGCCAGAGCCCTGGGGCGGCAGGCACTGGCCCCGCCCCCACGCAGGGCCTTCACGGATGGACTCTCAGCCGGACACCCCGTCTTCAGCACCCCAACCCCCCACTTGGGGTCACCGTTGAGGCGCTGCTGTGCCAACATCTATCTCCGCAGAAGGCCGGTGTCCAGATGGGCAGTGTCCAGGCAGCCACCCCACACTCCAGGCTGGGGTCCCCACGTGCCTCCCCCGAGGACAGTCCTGGGCTTGTGCTGTGGGTGCTGCCCTTCCAGGGGTGGCGCTTGGGGCTGGCAGGGCATCGCTGCAGGCTCCTGTTTATTGCCTGGTGGCCTGAGGCCCAGCCCGTGGGCCCATCCACCCTGGTGTGCGGACAGGAGAAGAGGACCCTGCACCCAGGGAAGGGCTCAGGTCAGGGGTCACGGGGAAGGGACAGGACCAGGAGAAAGAATAAGATGGGCGTGAAGGAGGTCACAGTGATAGAATGTGGGGGTGCGGCAGGATGTGGACCTGGCTGGGAACACCCCGGGGGGAAGGGACAGGGATGAAGAGGCAAGACAGCCTCCCTGGTCCTGGCCGGAACAGCAGTTCCTTAGCCAGGTCCCTGTTTTCAGATCCACAGGGATCGGCCTCCAGCGTGTGGTTGTGGGGTGCAGATAGAAGAGGGGGGGCAGAGAGAGGGGGAGGTGTCAGCAAGGGATGAGAGCCGTGGAGGGGTGAAGGTGCTGGAGTGGAGCACCACCCGACTGTGGGCTGGCAGGGTGGGAAGAGAGGTGGAGGGAGGGCGGAGGAGGGAGGGCGGAGGAGGAGGAGGAGGAGGGAGAGGAGGAGGGAGGAGGAGGAGAGGAGGAGGAGGAGAGGAGGATCAGAAGGAAGGAGAGGAGGAGGATCAGAAGGAGGGAGGAGCAGGAGGAGGGAGGGAGGAGCAGGAGGAGAAGGAGCAGGAGGAGGGAGAGGAGGAGGGAGAGGAGGATCAGAAGGAGGGAGGAGCAGGAGGAGAAGGAGCAGGAGGAGGGAGAGGAGGATCAGAAGGAGGGAGGAGCAGGAGGAGGGAAAGGAGGGAGGAGGGAGAGGAGGAGGAAGGGAGGAGGAGGAGCAGGAGGAGAAAGGAGCAGGAGGAGGAGGAGGAGGAGGAGGGTGCATTAGGAGGGGAGAGGAGGGAGGGGAGCAGGAGCCCCGCAGGCCCGCGCCGCCGGCTGTGGCGGGCTCACATGAGCGCACACTTGCCCTTGATGCGGTCGGCCCGCTTCTGCTTGCTGGAGCGCTTGCCGTCCACGCTGAGGCTGACGCTGCGGCGCGTCTCGAGCGTCAGCAGCTCCTGGAACAGCTCCTTCACGTTGTAGTTCATCTTGGCCGAGGTCTCCATGAAGGCGCACTTCCACTCCTGCGCCACGGCCTGCGCCTCGCGGGTGTGCACCTCCCGCTGCGTCTCGTCGCACTTGTTCCCCACCAGCATGATGGGGATGTCCTCCACGCTGCCCTTGATCTGCACGATCAGCTTGTAGATGGGGCTCAGCTCGTCCAGCGACTGCTTGCTCGTCACCGAGAACACCAGGATGAAGGCGTGACCCTTGGAGATGGACAGCCGCTGCATGGCCGGGAACTGGTGGCTGCCGGTTGTGTCCGTGATCTGCAGGGTGCATACGCTCTTGTCACAGCTGATCACCTGCCGGTACGTGTCCTCGATGGTGGGGATGTAGGTGTCGCGAAACGTCCCCTTGACGAAGCGGAGCACCAGCGAGCTCTTGCCCACGCCGCCTGCGCCAAACACGACCACGCGGTAGTCATTGCTCTGTTCTGGCATCTTCTCCGAAGCCGGCTGGGCGCGCGGGGCCGGCTGCTAGAACCCCAGACCGACCCTGTCGGAGAAGGGAGAGTGACATGTGTCAAGCCACCGGGGCCCAGGACAGCTCCCTGCGCCAGCGGTCAGGACGCAGGGGGCGCTTTCCCCCCTCCGTCCCACCCAGGTGTCTCCCGGGCAGGGGCAGGCAGCGGCCCTCGCTGGCGCCCCGCTGACTCTGCAGCCGAGCTCTCCCGGGCGGGCGCCCTGCCAACACCTCAGCCTGTTCTCCCTGACGGAAGTAAGGCCCCGAGTTCCCAAGGGGACTCTGAGCTGGAGAAGGTGCTGATGAGGCCAGGTAACAAAGATGCACAGATCAGCATCCGCCCAGGCCCAGGGTCCCACCTCAGGCCTCGGTTCCACCCAGCCCCCGCTCCACACCAGTGCAAGCGCCTCATACCCTGAGCCTCGCCTCCTTCCTGCCCCATCCTTATGTGTGAGAGACCCTGTCTCAAAAACCTCAAGGTGGGGTGCTGGAGAGATAGTTCAGAGGTCAGCGCACCAGCTGCTCTTGCAGAGAACCCAGCTTCAGTTCCCAGCACCCACACTGCGGCTCACGACCCTGTGTGCCTCCGGTTCTGAGGACCCAATGCCCCCTTCTGGCCTCTGCGGGTACTGCACACACATGATGCACAGACACATAAACACAGAAGGAAAAATACAGTGAAAAGAATCTCATTGTGAAAACTGTGGTGATACATTGTGTACCCTATTTTAATTTTTTTTTAAATCAGGTGTGATAGTACACGCCTGTAATACCAGAACTGGAGAGGCGGGAGCAGGCAGATCGTGAATTCTGGGTCACTCTGAGCTACAGAATGAGACTCTATCTAAAAAAACAACCTAACAAATCGAAGGTTTATGGCAGCGTACACCTTTAGACCAAGTGCTGAGATTAAAGGTGTGTGCCACCACTGCCCAGCTTTGATCCCAGCACTTGGGAGGCAGAGCTGGGTGGATCTCTGTGAGTTCGAGGCCAGCCTGGGCTACAGAGTGAGATCCAGGACAGGCACCAAAGCCACACAGAGAAACCCTGTCTCAAAAGAACAAAAACAAACAACTAAGAAAGTAAGCAAACCCACATCAGAACAGGAAAAACTACCACGACCACCAACAAAAAAACCAAAAGCACATTGGGAGACTGGCAGTAGATGTCACGAAGACTGGCTTAGGGCCTGGCCAGGGGACCCACTACACAAAACGCTCCTCTGCCTCGTGGACATCCAGGAATCGGATGTGTAAATCCTGACACTGAGTTCCTGGAAGCAGGGACACAGGATTCACAGCCCAGGCTGAGCGGAGAAAGCCCTGGGGCCAAGTGGGGCCTCCTGTTCCGTAGGCCTGTGCCTTGGCTCCCTGCTCAGGCCACTGTGTGCTCGGTGACACAGGCCCTGGGGATTCCTCGGGTTTCTCTCCTGCCTTTGCTCAGAGAGGTTCATGGGTCTCACGGGGTCACAGAGCATGGAGACTCCTGAAATACTGGAGGTGGGGGAAGGAGTATGTGGAGGGGAGAATGCAGAAGGTCTGTCCCCACGATGGCTGTCCCCCACCAAGAGTCCTGTTCCTCCCCCTTCAGGCGGTTTTCCTCTGTGTGTGTGTGTACTTGTGGGGAAGGCTGGGGCAGCTCCAGAGTCAGACCCGGAGAGTGTGACAAACAAGTGACTGTGTCCTCGGGAGCCTGTCCAGGCACAGCCCACAGGGACGGGGGCCCAGCCTCTGATGAGCCCACCAAAGTCATGATGAGTCAGGGTTCCGTAGCTGAGGACAAGTGTCCTCCGTGGGGTCTGAAGGCGCATTCAAGACTGTCAAAGGTGCTGGACATGTCGGGACAGAGTAAAAGGAAATACAGCCGGAGTCAACCCTGGGGACACCCCCCGGAAACTTCTCAAGCTGGAGACGAACTTGAACGGCACCCGGATTCTACACAGGGTACTGATTGGCCTGGGGAGGCGCTGGGGGCCATGGCCTGGGGAGGAGCTGGGGGGCCATGGCCTGGGGAGGAGCTGGGGGGCCATGGCCTGGGGAGGAGCTGGGGGCCATGGCCTGGGGAGGCGCTGGGGGGC